CCGCGGCGACCATCGCACATGTCACCGGGGTAACTTGGTCGACCGGGCAACCACGCCTGGCCGACCGGACTAATTGGTCCCCGGCTGCACTAGGCCAGTGTCCTCCAAAATCGGCACAAGCAGGACGCCGCCTCCCAGGTTGGCCTCGCCAGGTTGACCACCCAAACTCGGCGCCCTCCTGCTCGGCACCCTTCACCTCGTCGACCACCGATTCAAATCAGCCGCATGCCCCACAACGCCGGCGGCAATGCAGTGGCGCCCATGCCGAAATCGACGTCGTCCACTGCTGCTGATCGGCTGTGCTCCCTGCACACCCGACTACGAAGTTGGCTCCGCCCAACTGAGGACGGGGCCAACCACAACTCCCCTTAACACAGGTGTGTCAGAATGTTGTATTTGTCTAGCCTGCAGTGGGGTACTCTATAGCGAGTACAACCCAATTTAGGGTTTCCTATTTGCATCCTCCTGCTGCTAGTCCAAAGCCCCTCTTCTGCTGTTTATTCCTGTTCGTTATTCTGACATGCTATCAAAGCAGGTCGACCCTCCCGTCGCGTCCTCTGCCCTTAGCGGCCCGTCGCGCTCCCTTACGGCCTCGTCGCGGCCCCTCTCACGGCCCCTCACGGCCCCTCTCACGGCCCTTCGCGGCCCCTAGCGGCCCCCTCGCCGCCCCTCGAGGCCCCTCGCGGCCCCTTTGCGGCCCCGTCGCCGCCCCTAGCGGCCTCGTCGCCGCCCTTCAAGGCCCCTCGCAGCCCCTTCACGGCCCCGTCCCCGCCCCTTCTCGGCCCCGTCGCCACCCTTCAAGGCCCCTCGCGGCCCCTTCTCGGCCCCGTCGCCGCCCTTCGCGGCCCCGTCGCCGCCCCTAGCGGCCCCGTTGTTGCCCTTTGAGGCCCCTCGCGGCCCCTTCGCGGCCCCGACGCCGCCCCTTCTTGGCCCCGTTGCCGCCCTTCGCGGCCCCGTCGCCGCCCCTAGCGGCCCCGTCGCCGCCCTTCGAGGCCCCTCGCGGCCCCTTTGTGGCCCCGTCGCCGCCCTTTGAGGCCCTTCGCCGCCCCTTCTCGGCTCCCCCGCCACAAGCAGCAGCCGCCACCAGCAGCAGCCGACAGCAGCGGCGGCCGCCGATAGCAGCAGCCGACAGCCGCGACTACCGCCGCCACTAACAACAGGAGCTGCCGCCGCAGTCGCGGCTCTGTCCCTGCCGACGTGCCTCGGCCCTGCCCCACCGCTTGCCGGCCCCTACCTACCAGCCCTGGTAAGAGCACTGCCAAGTCACGCCTGCTACTTCTGCCCCTAGCCTGCTGCCACTGCTGTCATGGCTACCCCTAGCGTTCTAGTCTTTGATGCTAAGGGTCGGGCTGTTGACTTCGAGGTCTGGGTCGATGATCTACAACTTTTCCTACAGTGCGATAGAAAGGACGGTCTCTCACTGTTTGATCTCACGTCTGGCGCCTCTGCTGCCCCTGCTACCGATGCAGACAACAATGTTCGCTCACAGTGGGCCACACGCGATGCTGCTACCCGTCTTGCTGTGCGTTGTCACTTGCCGTCCACTGAGCGCGCGCACTTTAGTCAATACAATAGTGCTAAGACCTTGTACGATGCTGTGATTGCACGCTACTCTTCCCCTGCCACTGCTGCCCTTAGCTGCCTCATGCTGCCGTACCTGTTTCTTGACCTCGCCGCCTTTCCCACAGTTGCTGACCTCATTACGCACCTTCGCACTAGTGACACCCGCTACCGAAATGCGCTTCCTGCTGAGTTCTGCGCCAAGAACCCCCACCCCCCCATGTACATCACCCTCTACTACATAGTCACCCGGCTCCCTTACTCCCTCTCCCTTACTTCCTTGGCTGACGACTAGGCTACGTAGCGGTCGTCACAGGGTTACACCTTCAGCCTTGGCTCCGGCTCTGTTTCGTGGCGGTCTACCCGCTCGTCTTCTGTTCTCGGCTCTAGCTGTGAGGCTGAGATCTACGCAGGGGCCATGGCTGCACAGGAGCTACGCTAGCTCACCTACCTGCTGACTAAACTAGGAGAGCCGCCTCATTCTCCTCTAGTTCTGTATGTAGACAACAAGGCCATGCTTGCCTTGTGTCGGGAGCACAGACTTGAGCACAGAACGAAGCACATTGCTCTTCGCTACTTCCTTGCACGTGAGCTGCACCAGCGTGGTCAGCTGCGCCTTGCTTACGTGGCCTCTCAGGCCAACACTACTGATATCTTTACCAAGGCACTTCCGCCTTGTGATCATCAGCCCTGCTGTACGATGCTAGGTCTTGTGCCTACTTGGCCTCACTTGCTCACTTCTTGACCTTGCTTGTTCTGTGATCTTTCTATACTTGCACTTGCTTGTTTACCTTTATATATGATCTTACATGTGAACTGGCCTTGTGGCCTTGAACTTGTGCTCGAAATGTGTGGTGACGTTGTGATCCACCCTGAGCTTGCTTTGCTTTGCTTGACTGGTCGTGCGACCCCTTGTTCTCCCCCACTTTGCCTATGGGGGTGTGTCAGACTTATATGACTTAGCCTGTATAGGCTATAGTGGGGTAGCACATATGGGGTACAACACATTTCTAATGTTTTTACTTGTACCCAACCCTTTCCTCTTGTAAATCATTCCTCATTCTTTCACACCTCAGGCCCGCGCATGTGCTCTCGCAATGTTGCGATTGTGGCACGGCCTACTATCATCACAGAACAGGGCAAATGATCGCCCTCACCATGTGCGGAAAAGCGCATGTCCATACTGTACAATGCACACGATGGCGGACACGATCGCACTATACAGCACGACCGAAATATCGGTCGTGTTATGATTGTAGTCGGAGGTTGCTCGGGATTTCGGTTGAAAAACCGATTCCCGCGTTGACTCGACTAACAAGTAATTTCGCGAGAAATGTAACGCGCCTAACAAGATTAATTTGATACAAGGAAAAACTATGAAGAACCGTTAAGTAACATTGAACGTTCATGAAAATGGAAAACCGAAAACGTCCTCATGATTACTCATCCGAAATTGTGAACGTTCATGAAGGGAGTCAGCAAGGGAATTTGGCATGAATGCAGTTCGAAGACCGTTATTTTAAACAGGAGAATCAAGCCAAATTCAAGAGCAATGCGATATCCGTTTTTCTTGGCGCATCTAGCGAAGTTCTGAAGTCTAGTTAAACAATTGCATTGTGCTTTTCTATGCTTGTGTGTCTAGCAAAATATAAATGCGTGCTTGCGCTTGATTGCGATCGATCCTTCGAGTGAATATTTTCTACACCAACATATTGAGGTGAAAAGAAGTTTCTGCACACGACCATTTCGTCAGCATAACGTTGCACAAGAAATTTTGGGAGTGTTCTATTGCACACGATTTTTTTTTTACTTGGTGTCTCTCTCTACAAACACGGACTCTTGGTTAGGGGCTGGCTTTGTTAGGCACCCAAGGACACTTGGAGGTGACCCCTGTGAAAGTACGAGGAATGAATGAACTAGGAAACAGTTGGATACAAATGTGAAACCCTAGAAACCTGTACCCCTTAGAGTCTACCCCACTACAGCCTACATAGGCTAAGTCATATATATGTGATACACCCCCATAGGCAAAGTGGGGAGAACTAGGGGTCACAAGACCAGTCAAGCAAAGCAAAACAAAGCAAGCACAGGGTGGATCACAACGTCACCACACAGTCCGTGCATAGATTCAAGGCCACAAGGCAAGTTCACATGCAGGAATATATATAAAGGTAAACAAGCAAGTGCGGGTATAAATAGATCACAGTACAAGCAAGGTCAAGAAGTGAACAAGTGAGGCCATGTAGGCACAAGACCTAGCATCGTACAGAAGCGCTGATGATCACAAGGCTGAAGTGCCTTGCTAAAGATATCAGCAGTGTTGGCCCGAGAGGCCACGTAAGCAAGGCACAAGTGACCATGCTGCTGCAGCTAACGAGCAAGAAAGTAGCCAAGAGCAATGTGCTTTGTTCTGTGCTCAAGTCTGTGCTCCCGACACAAGGCCAGCATGGCCTTGTTGTCTACGTACAGAACGGGAGGAGAACAAGGCGGCTCTCCCAGGTCAGTCAGCAGGTAGGTGAGCCAGCGTAAGTCCTGTGCAGCCATGGCCCCTGCGTAGATCTTGGCCTCACAGCTAGAGCCGAGAACAGAAGACGAGCGGGTAGACCGCCACGAAATAGAGCCGGAACCAAGGCTGAAGGTGTAACCCTGTGACGACCGCTGCGTATCCTGGTCGTCAGCTCAAGAAGTGTCTGCTTGACCGGTGAGGACCACAGAACGCCGCCCTCCAAGCACTAACCCCATGCCTGACGTACTGCACAAGTAGCGCAACACCCTCTTCGTTGCATCCATGTGCTCTGTTCGGTGTCTCCTAGGAGCAACATAGCGTGCCAAGATGCTAAGAGGGTATGCAAGGTCAGGTTGAGTGCAGGTCATCAGGTACATGAGGCAGCCAACAAGCTCTGGGTACGGGCCACTCGGCTCTACGGACTCATCCAAAGGCAGAGCTGAGAGCGAGTGGCGAGTAGACAGAGGAGTGGCCTGAGGCGAGGAGTACGTGAAGTCGAAGCGTTGAAGGACTTGCTGCACCATGTGTGACTCATTCAGGGTAATGGTGCGCTGTGCTCTGTCCCGAGTGATCTGCAAGCCAAGGTAGCTGCGCAGTTCACCCAGGTCTGTGCACGTGTCTCTCTTCTGCAGCTCGGACTTCACGTGGGCGAGTCCAGCATGGCAGCAGTGGCAAAGACCAAGTCGTCGACGTACACGAGGATGTAGAACGGCAGGAAAGAGATGTCAGTGCGCAGAAACAACGACGGGTCGGCAGTAGAAGGAGCAAAGCCAAGAGCCGCAAGTGTAGTCCTCAGTGTGTCGTGCCACTCACGGGGCGCCTGGCGGAGACCGTAGACTGGCCGCCGGAGGCTCCACTGGGTACCAGGAGGAAACGACCCAGCAAAGGTGACGTCCTGGGAGGACAGAACACGGCGCGAGGTGGGGTGGTAAAACTACCAACCAGGCGCGTCAGGGGGGAAGCCAAGGAAGACACAGGAAACAGCACGAGGGGACAGCTTGTCCGCAGACAAGTCGCGAACAAACGCCCGAGATCCCCAGACACGAAACGCAGACGCATCGCCAACCTTCCCCGTCCACCTCAAGGTGGGTGAGGTCTCTGGCAAGGAGACCCGGGGCTGAAGGTTGATCTGATGCGCTGCGTACCGAACCGCAAACGGCCACAGAAAGTGGGGAGCAGCCGCATGGATCATAGACGTACGAGCGACGTCCATGACCATGCCAATGCGGCGCTCAGCAATCCCATTTTGCTGTGGAGAGTCCGGAAGCGTGAAGGTCTGGCGGATGCCCTGTGCACGACAGAAGGCTCCTAGAAGGCCAGAGGAAAACTCTCTGCCTTGGTCTTAGTGGAGACGCAGAACAGGAAAGTCCGAGCCTAAACTCTCTCTGAGCTGGAGACGAGCTGCGCGGATCTAGTCAATCAACACCTCAGTGACGTCACCCTTAATAAACAAGGGGAACACCATGGTGTAACGCGAGTAGTCGTCAACCACCAAAAGGAAGTAATGCTCATGACCCTGGCCACAGACGCGGACGGGGCCCCACACGTCCATGTGAAGAGTCTTCAGCGGAGCCTCTGTCGGAGGAAACTCGGAGGAGTGAGGGGCGGCGCGCTGCCTCCCCTCGACGCAGGGAACGTAGATAGGGGCAGGCCCCTGAGGGAGGGGAGGGAGGGAGCGGGGGAGACCAGAGACAAGGACACGGGAGGCCATGCCTCGGAGACGAGGCAGGGAGGGGTGACCAAGGCGGTGGTGCCAGAGGAGAGTCCGGTGGGACAGGAGACGACACGAGCAGGGAGCAGACTCGGGACCAGACCCGGACACTGCAGCAAACACCTGACCCGACGAAGCTACCTGACCAGACTCAGCAACCGGAGGAGACGTAGTGGAAAGTGTGTTTAGGCTCGACCCCGGCCGACGGGTAAACGTGGCCAAGTGTCGGCCTGTCCGAGCACACGTACAGTGGGTCACCCGCTGACTCGCAGGAGTGAACTGGTCAACCCCCCTATCCTGAAGATCAGCACCACTCACCAAGTTCATAGAGAACGAGGGGAGGTAGAGACCTGACAGGGTGCTAGAGGGGGCCGTCGAACACGGTAAGACAGTGGAGAAGTGGGCAAGGACAGGACCCCCAGAGGGGTCCGCCACGGAGACCGCACTTGGCCGACTAAGCATCGTAAGCGCGGTGCGGTCTCGAAAGAAGGAGCGGGAAGCACCCGAGTCAAGGGTGAAGGTGTGTAAGGCCTGAGCCGACGTGGTACCTGAGAGAGCAGACTCACCAGCACCTGGGGCAGCAGACTTATCAGCACCTGGAGCAGCAGACGCACGAGCACCTAGAGTAGCAGCCTCACCAGCACCTACAGCAGCAGCCGCAATGCCCGGGTCAGGCGGAACACACAGGTAACAGTCACCCTCATCACTAGTAGACACAACATACATGGCAACAAGAATGGCATCATAATCCAAATCAAAGATAGCAACCCCCGACCTAAGTAGCTTGCCCCAGTGAGGGATCTCAGTGGCGTCAAGGAACTGGAGACGCCAAGCGTCCGTTAGGCAGCCGAAGCAGCGCTGGGTGTTGTGTGGGCCACCGCACGGCTCACTAGTGCAGACGCCTGGACGCAGGACGTAGGTACACGGACCAGCACCCCCACACCGCTGACGCGCAGCGTACCACTCAGAAAGCTGCTAGGGGGGCGGGGTCGCACGAGTGCGCTGCTGCTGGTGGCGCTGATCACCACCGAAGTTGCTCCACTTCGCAGAGCCACCTCGACCAGCTCCACCTCCGCCGCCGCCACCTCCACCACCACCTCCACCGCCTCCTCCTCCGCTCCCACCGCCACCGCCGCCGCCGCCTCCGCCTCCGCCTCCACCGTTGCCACCGAAGCCCCCACCTCCGCCACCACTACCACCGCCACCCCCACTCCCTTCGCCGCCTCCACCGCCACCTCCACCGCCCCCGCCAGCCCGTCCAGCGCCCTTGCCCCCCTTGCCTTTGCCGGTGCGACGTCTCCCACTAGGGGCAGACGCAGCGCCGACCGACTCGGTGCCAACGAAGTCGACGGCAGCAGCAGGGGCAACAGAGGGCAAAAGGGGGGAGGGGGAGCACCCCTCATAGAAGGGGGCACGAGGGTCACCACGAGAGGCTCCTACAGCGATTATAATCTTCTCAGCTGCCAGGAGGCGCTCCTCGATGAGGTCAACGGTGAGTGTGGTGGGGAAAACAGGGAGGAAGTGGTCCCTGACCGAGCGAAGGGAGTCAGGGAGCCGGGTGACTATGTAGTAGAGGGTGATGTACATGGGGGGGGGGGGGGGGTTCTTGGCACAGATCTTAGTAGGAAGCGCAGCGCGGTAGCGGGTGTCACCAGTGCGGAGGTGCGTAATGAGGTCAGCGACTGTGGGGAAGGCGGCGAGGTCAAGAAACAGGTACGGCAGCATGAGGCGGCTAAGGGCAGCAGTGGCAAGGGAAGAGTAGCGTGCAACTACAGCATCGTACAAGGTCGTAGTACTTTTGCACTGACTAATTGCGCGTGCTCAGTGGACGGCAAGTGACTACGTACAGCAAGACAGGTAGCAGCATTGCGTGTGGCCCACTGTGAGCGAACACTGGCGTCAGCATCGGCAGCAGGGGCAGCAGAGGCGCCAGACGTAAGATCGAACAGTGAGAGACCGTCTTTCCTATCGCACTGTAGGAAAAGCTGTAGATCATCGACCCAGACCTCAAAGTCAACAGCCCGACCCTCAGCATCAAAGAAGAGAACGCTAGGGGTAGCCATGGCAGCAGTGGCAGGAGGCTAGGGGCAGCAGCAGCAGCAGTAGCAACAGTAGGGGCGCAACTCGGTGGTGCTCTTACCAGGGCAGGTGGGTAGAGTGCAACAAGTGGTGGGGCAGGGCCGAGGCGCGTCGGCAGGGACGGGGCCGCTACAGGGCGGCAGAGGAGCGCCGCTCCTCTTTGCAGGGCAGGGCCGGGACAGCGGCGGCGGCCCCTGCTGTCGACGGCGGCTGCACCTGCAGTCGACGGCGGCTGCAGCTGCAGTTGGCGGCTGCGGCCCCGGCTGTGGCGGCGACGGCTGCTGCCGTTGGCGGCTGCGGCAGCTGCGGCCCCGGCAATGGAGGCGGGTGCTGCTGCTGTAGGCTGCTGTGGCCCCGGCTGTGGCGGCGGCGGCTGCTGCTGTCGGCGGCTGCGACGGTGGCGGTTCCCGCTGCTGGAGCGGCGTCTGTTGCTGCTGCAGGGGCGGCGACGGCGGGGCGGCAGGAAGGGGGCCGCGGAGGAGCCGAGGAGGAGCCGCCAAGGGCGGTGAAGGGGCCACGAAGGGCCGTGAAGGGGCCGCAAAGGACGGCGACGGGGCCGCGAAGGGGCCATGAGGGGCCGCGAAGGGTGGCGACGGGGCCGATAAGGGCGGCGACGGGGCCAAGAAGGGGCCGCGAGGGGCCGCGAAGGGCGACGACGAGGCCGCGAAGGGCGGTGACGAGGCCGCGAAGGGCGGCGACGGGGCCTAGAAGGGGCCCCAAGGGGCCGTAAGGGAGCGGGACGGGCCGCTAAGGGCAGGGGACGCGAAAGGAGGGCACGCACGCGGGGCGCGACTCGTGCAGGAGCGAAGCGCGCTCCGGGCAAGAAAAAAAAAATTGATCGTGGTGGGCCCTAGGAAACGTTCCCACTAGGGAACCTGTTCTATACCATGTGAAAGAACGAGGAATGAATGAACTAGGAAACAGTTGGATACAAATGTGAAACCCTAGAAACCTGTACCCCTTAGAGTCTACCCCACTACAGCCTACACAGGCTAAGTCATAAATATCTGACAACCTCGTGGGGACAACTAAGTGTGAATTAAAGGTGTGCCTAAGAACTTCTAGATTCTAATAGTAGTCAGCACAAATATCAATTTTGCACGTCAACCAACCGCTTGCATGAAGTCCCGCATTCTGTGTGTGTACTGTGCACATTCGTTTTTGCATTCTGTTTCATGTTTTTTTGTTGTGGGCTCATGACGAGTCATGACAGATTATGACAAGTCATGAGTTCTCATGATGACTCATGTCAGTTCATGAATTTTCATGAACAACCATGCCCGTAGCGACCCCGCCCCGTCACCCTTCGCGGCCCCGCAGCAGCCGCCCCTGGAGCAGCCACCACTGTAGCAGCCGCCCCTAGAGCAACCGCCACTGCAGCAGCCGCCCCTGGAGCAGCCTCCCCTGCAGCAGCCGCCCCTGGAGCAGCTGCCCCTGAAGCAGCCGCCCCACGAGCAGCCGCCACTGCAGCAGCCGCCCCTAGAGCAGCCGCCACTGCAGCAGCCGCCCCTGGAGCAGCCGCCCCTGCACCAGCCGCCCCTGGAGCAGCCACCACTGCAGCAGCCGCCTCTGGAGCAGCCTCCCCTGCAGCAGCCGCCCCTGGAGCAGCCGCCACTGCAGCAGCCGCCCTTGGAGGAGCCTCCCCTACAGCAGCGGCCCCTGGAGCAGCCGCCCCTGAAGCAACCGCCCCAGGAGTAGCCGCCACTGCAGCAGGCGCCCCTGGAGCAGCCACCCCTGCAGTAGCCGCCCCTAGAGCAGCCGCCCCTGCATCAAAAGCCCCTAGAGCAGCCGCCCCTGCAGCAGCCGCCACTGGAGCAGCCACCTCTGCAGCAACCGCCCATGGAGCAGCCGCCCCTGCAGCAACCGGCCCTGGAGCAGCCGCCACTGCGGCAGCCGCCCCTGGAGCAGCCACCCCTGCAGCAACCGCCCCTGGAGCAGCCGCCCCTGCAGCAGCTGCCCCTGGAGCAGCCGCCCCTGGAGCAGCCGCCCCTGCAGCAGCCGCCCCTGCAGCTACCGCGGAGCCTCGCCCTATAGTGGTAGCGGCCTCGCCGTTGCCACCGTCGTACGCCTGCCCTTCTGGCCACTAGTGAGCACTGCCCTGCCCGTACTGCTGTTACTGCTGCTCTTGCTGCTCCTGCTCTTTCTACTGCTATTGCTGCTCCTGGCTTGGCCAGATGCAGCTCCAGCAACGTCCGCGTGCATCCCTCACGCCCCAGCAGCTTCGTGAGTGGTACGCTACTTAAGGTTGTCGGGGTGGCCGTAGTAGGAGTCATCCTTGAGTGAGTAGTTTGGCAGCTGCCTGAAGTGGCCAGGTACAGCTGCAGCGTCGTTCGTGCGCGGTCCTTTCGCCCCAGCAGCTTCGTGAGTGGTACGCTACTTGGGGTTGTCAGGGTGGCCGTAGAGGGAGTCTTCCTGGAGTGAGTAGTTTGGTAGCTGCCGATATTGGCCAGGTGCAGCTGCAGCGTCGTTCGTGTGCGGTTCTTTCGCCCCAGCAACTTCGTGAGTGGTACGCTCAGCATGACGGGTCACGGGGTACTGCTCGCTGTTCCTATGTCATTCGCACTGGTGCTCGGACTGGTCACCCTTGCGGGACGCTTGGTCACGCAGAGTCCCGTTGCTTCGCCCGTCTGAGCGACGCCTGGCGTACGGAGTTTGGCGACGCGGCAGAGCTCCCCGATTGGGTGGAGCTGCTTAGACTGCGGGTAGATATCTATACTCTTGACTATGATGCTATCCTCACTGCCATGTATGCATTGCCTACTAGTGATCAGGGTGACTCTTACCTGTGTGTTCCGCCTGACCCAGGTATTGAGGTCAGGTCAGGTAGCTGCGTCGAGTCAGGTGTTTGCTGGAGCGTCCAATTCTGGTCCTGAGTCTGCTCCCTGCTCATGTCGTCTCCTATCCCACCAGACTCTCCTCTGCCACCACCGCCTTGGTCACCCCTCCCTGCCTCGTCTCCAAGGCATGGCCTCCCGTGTCCTTGTCTCTGGTCTCCCCCGGTCCCTCCCTCCCCTCCCTCCGGGGCCTGCCCCTACCTGCGTTCCCTGCATCGAGGGGCGGCAGCGCGCCGCCCCTCACTCCTCCGAGTTTCCTCCGACAGAGGCTCCACTGCAGACTCTTCACATGGACATGTGGGGCCCCGCCCGCGTCCGTGGCCAGGGTCACGAGCGTTACTTCCTGTTGGTGGTTGACGACTACTCACGTTACACCATGGTGTTCCCCTTGCGCAACATGGGTGACGTCACTGAGGTGTTGATCGACTGGATCCGTGCAGCTCGTCTCCAGCTCAGAGAGAGTTTCGGCTCGGACTCTGCTGTTCTGCGTCTGCACTCTTACAGAGGCGGGGAGTTTTCCTCTGCTCGTTTGGGAGCCTTCTGTCATGCACAGGGCATCCGCCAAACCTTCACGCTTCTGCCCTCTCCACAGCAGAATGGGATTGCTGAGCGCCGCATTGGCATGGTCATGGACGTCGCTCATACGTCCATGATCCATGCGGCTGCTCCCCATTTTCAGTGGTCGTTTGCGGTTCAATACGCAGCGCATCAGCTCTACGTCCATGATCCATGCGGCTGCTCCCCATTTTCTCTGGCCGTTTGCGGTTCAGTACGCAGCGCATCAGCTCAACCTTCATCCCCGCGTCTCCTTGCCAGAGACCTACCCCACCTTGCGGTGGACAAGGAAGGTTGGTGATGCGTCTGTGTTTTGGGTCTTGGGATCTCGGGCGTTTGTCCGCGACTTGTCTGCGGACAAGCTGTCCCCCTGTGCTATTCCCTGCGTCTTCCTTGGCTTCCCCCCTGACGCGCCTGGTTGTCCGCTCCTTGAGCAGGCTCTTGGTCTTCCGCCTTCTACTGGTCCTGCCCCTTCCTTAGAGTGTCCACCGCATGTCCAGTAGCAGTCACAGTTACAGCCCGCCTCGCCCCTACCCGCTCCTTCTCCCTACATGGGTCCTACTGGAGGTCTTGCTGGGCGTCGTGAGCCTGCGTCTCGTCCTGCGTCGCCTGTTCGTATTGCTCGCACTAGTGGTCGTACGGCGCGTCCGCATCCGCGTGCGGTCCCAGGCACGCACCAGATGGCACTGCGTCCTTCCACTGCTCCTCTGCGTGTCCCGTTGCCGTCTCCTCTGGAGTCCTCTCTTCCTACTCTTGCTGACCCGGAGTCTGACTCTCTTCGTGCTGTCACACGTCTCCTGGCTACTGTTGTCACTGACCTTTCCTTTGAGTCCACTGCTGCGTCTGCCCTAGTTGCTGAGCTTGTCGACTTCGCTGCTCGCTGTCGTCTAGACTACGCCGCTAGTCTTGTTGCTGAGTCTGAGTGTGTCTGTCCTCCGTCCGTCGGGGGTGAGTGTGCTCTTAGCACGGACGTCCTTGAGGACACGCAGGAGGAGTTCCAGTGTCTTGCTGCTGCTTTGCCTCATCTCGTGTCCACGCTGATTGCCCCTGAGGGAGACCCGAATGCACCAGACATCCCGACTCCTTGATCGTACGCTGAGGCGATCGAGGGTCCCTGCTCCTCTCAGTGGAACTCAGCTATGGACGCAGAGATGGCTTTCTGGAAGTCCATAGGCACCTACGTTGACGAGGTTCCCTCACCAGGGGCGAACATGGTTATTAGCATGTGGATCTTCAGGGTGAAGCGGCCGCCGCGTT